CTCGATCGTGATCCTCCCCGCCCGAAGGAAGAGAGTTCAACCGATCAGCCGGTCATCCGACTTCAGAATGAAAGGTATTTAGTCACCCCGCCACGAAGGTATCATGTGGCACAAGGCCGGTTTAACGTGGGGTCTCCGAGACCGTGTACTCGGTCAAAAATATGCCCTTTGAACTTGTATAAACTGTTTATCACCCGAAAGATACTCCACCATTCGGCGTAGCCTCGTTCGGGTTCTTCCCCGCCCAACTTCAGACGGAACTTCCTGCTTCCTCTTGAGGCGCAGCATTTATTATGTATGGAATAGTACATTTTGTTATTATGGGGAAGGTCCAATAACATAAGCAATTTCATAATTTGACAGAAATTCACGAAAACATACAAACACAGGCACACACAGACACACACACACACACACACACACATATATATATATATATGTGTGTGTGTAATGAAAAATATCATTCATCGAAAATCGAAAATAAAGAAAGTTTCTCTTTTTTATTTAAGAAATTATCTGATCGGGAAACCAGCCATTGTTACTCCAAAGTGAGGGTCAACATTTTTAGTTTCTATTTTCATAAATTTAAATGAGGATCGGCTGACAGAACTAAAAAGGATTTCTACAAGATTTTTAAAAGGTTTAAAAAAGAATTTTATTTATTATAACTTTCGTAAACTTTAATAAAATTCAATAATTATCTGATTTTTGACGGATTAAACAATAACTCAATTTTCGTTGCAAAATTAGTTGCGTCATTTTTCCTCTTATTTCATTTGTGGTATTTTTACCTAAAGTCAGATTATGAATATAAACAATATACGATTCTCTATCTATCTATCTATCTATCTATCTATCTATCTATCTATCTATCTAAGACTCTACTCCTGTCTATCTATCTATCTAGCTAGCTAGCTAGCTATATGTGATACTAATTAGCTTGCTTAAAAGGGAGAAAGAAGAAAAGAAAAAGGAAAGAAACAAAAAAAAAGAAAGGCGAGAGTTAAATTTAGATGATAAAAAAAAGCCATCACGAAAGGGGACATTAAGCGGTGTTATTTTGACAAGGAAAAATGGTGAAAATTTTTATTGCCATTGTCGAGAATTCTAAATAGATAAACATTTAACTGTGTCATGGTGGCGAACTTATATTATCGGGAAAAGATTTAATAGGTCATCTGTTGACCACACACGAGTTGCAAAAACAAAAAGAACCCAACCATAGGTTAAGTCTTTGTCGATGGGAGGGTGTCATTGAACAAGGCATCTGGGTTGTGTTGGAATTTGACTATGACAGTGAAACTATTTTATCAGAAATTGGCGAAAATTTCGTTGACGACTTCCATATGAATTCGGCTGTGAATTGGCGAAATTGTTTTATCGTATCAGTGGTTGGCGCCGGAGAGTGAGTGTGTCTGGTTGACCTCCCACTTGATGCTGGGGAAAATCTGATTGACGAATTCCATATGAAGTGACATTGGGATAAGAATTGAGATTATCACACTACGGGTCGTATTTGTCTGTTGGCGGCCAGAGGAAAAGAGAGAAAGAAAAGAAATAGAAAAAGAAAAAGAGGAGATAATTTTTTTCTTTGAGCAAGATATTTTTTTTAAAAACAAGGCTAGTCTGGTCACACCCACCCTGCTGAGCGCCCATGGCGTGAATGTTAACGAGAGCCAGGCGGAGGTGATCATGTGATGCAGGGAGGGGGGAGGCCTGCTACCACCCATTGAGGGGAGAGGTATGAGATGTCACTGCGAGAGAGTGGGAAAACCGTTGACGCCCTCTGAGGGTTTGGTGAGATACCCATATGAGAATAGAAGAAGGTAGGAGTAGGAGAAGACTTCCAAATATGGAAAGGAGTGGAAATTTCCTGACTGAAAATAAAGAGGTGGACTGTGGTTTGGAATTATCAAGGAACCTCAAACCCCGACAAGCCCACCCCGGTTTTGGTCGGCGTCCATATAAGCAAAGTCGCAGCGAGCGAAAATCAGTTTTAGTTCGCGTGAATTCCAGTTGAGAGCTCTGAATCCTCGCCACGAAGAAGCTGACTAAGATTCGCGCAAATTCCGAACTCATCTTCTAATCAAGAACAATTTATTTTTAAAGAACCACTTAGACTCACACCACCAAAACAAGTTTTACGAATTTCGCCTGAAGACACACCAATAACCAGTTGCTTAAAGAACAGACAACTTAAGATGTTAAGACTCGCCTAACAAAAACAACGTGACACGAATCCATATAGCGGGTTAAAAGATAGACGCAGTCTTGTATCCAGCAACCAGATATAAAATATTAACACATTTTGAACTTTTCGAGTTGTTATTTTATTTTATTTTACATTTATTTGTGCGATATCACTCTTATTCGAACTCGACTTGCATTACGGCTCCAGCGACTGATTGATTTCGTCTACCTAGATCAATTCACAACGTGGGTAGGCAGACTGGAAATCAAAGTAATTACTTCGGTAACCAGACGTTGGAGGCGAGTTGGGAACGACGAGGCTGATATCGAATCTAACCAGATTCCCATCCGATTCACCAAAAGGTTAGAACGTTACATTTGGGTGCCGCGACCAATACCAAGCCAGTTGGTCGTCACAGGACGGGATAACACGACTGACGCAGACAGGCGGACCTCACGTTTGGAGCGGCGACACCCGAACGAAGGACGTCAGGGATATATATATATATATATAGAGAGAGAGAGATATTTTTTCTATTCATATTCATCTATATACAGATATATAATTTTGTCTATATCTATCTTTTTTTGGTGTATGTTTGTATATATATAATATATATATATATATATATATATATATATATATTTATATATACATCTATATTTATATCTCTATCTATATTGTATATAAACCATATATATATATATATATATATATATATATATTACGAACAAAATATTAATGTTAGTTTACTCATATCTATCTATCTATCTATCTATCTATCTATAGATGCAGAACTATACACATAAGCGTCCGGTTCACACTCCTATCTTCTAAAACCCTTTCCGTTCTCTTTCACTACCAGCAGACCCTTTCTTGGGGGTGAATTAATCAATTCACATATATATAAAACACACATAGACAAGCACACACCCAATTTGAGTGTGTCCGAAATAAGACACTGGAATAATGCATTTTACTTTCACTCCGTCTGAACAGCCTTTACCCTGGCCTGAATAATAATGCTGGAGACAAGCAAAATAAAAAAAAAACTAAAACTTATCAACAATAGACTGAAAATGAATTAAAATCTTGATAAAAAATCTAATTTAGCCATGTTGCAAATATAAATAACTTGAAATGAAAATTATTGAATTCTTGAATTTTCAAGACCGGCAAAAAGAAGAAACATTAAAAACTTAAAACTCAGAAAACCAAAAATAAGCACCAACTTAATTCCAAGGTTTACCAAAAGTTCAGTGGTTTTCGTATGTCATTTGGTCTCTGGAATCACACACACACACACACACACACACACACAAAGACATGTACAGATAGACACACACAATCACACACACGCATATGTCCTGTCTGAATTGCATATTAGATCTGGATATATATTTGTTTCCCATGAAATGTCAATCGGATTCTCGAACTTAAAAATAGGTTTCATGGCGTAACAAAATCCTATCAACATGAAATGAAAATCATTGACCTTTCGTCAGTCGTGACACTTTAAAAAAAAACTTTGACATTAATTATATTGAAAATCTTGTTGACTGATCGAGTTGACATTCTTCTAAATTAAGACCGACACAATTTGCGACTTCTTTTTATTTTTCTTACCGTTGTTGACATGAAAGCAAAATTGTTTCATTATTAAAATTTCCTTTCAATGAAATTTAACCTTGTTGAAAATCAAATTAAATTTAAACATCAAATTATCTATTGACCCTTGACTCAAAATAATTGTTGCTTTCATTCAAATACTATCAACAATTCAACTTCTAATTATTAATGACAGAACAAACGATAATAATTAGTAATTATTGAATACATAATAAGCAATTGTTTAAAGCAAAAATAAAAATGAAATTAGAACTTGAAATGATTTATTATCTCTAGACTCTCAGTAAAGTTGCTTTTATTCCTGACCATCGACTATTCATCTTCGATTCAACCTGAACTTTTATTGAAATGAAAATATATTGAATATATTATATTCCCACAAGTACTAGTAATATTTTAGCAATAGTAGTATAATCAGAGCCGACGCGTCTTACCCCCGATATCGCCGATCTAGTGAGGGGGCCTCGTTTTTTTTAGCCCCGTTGTTCTGTTATGTAATGTCATAAAAAATATAACAAATGCTTAAATATTAATTAAAAAAAAATAATTTAAGTTCTAATTCATTTAAGTTGAACTTTACAATGTATTTAATAGGAATTAAATTCCGTGATAACATTGATATGAAGAAGAAGTAATGGCGGACTGATCAAATCGTTTGTCAGTGATAAGAAAAGCAAAAAATTTGCCCCATTTCAAATTCAGTCCACCCTTCAAAGTAGATTTGTGATTGCTGGGTTTCTCTCGATCTAACCGTGATATCCATGGAGATTGGTTGGCAAATATAGCACTGTTCACACATAAACAAACAATTTTTCTCGATTTGATCACTACCCGCCATTTCATAAATTTCTCTTCTCTAAAAAATAGGTCAGAAGACATGCAAAGACAGACGTAGACAAAATTGTAATCAAATCAGCAGAGATAATAATGCTTCTATATTGCCAAGAGACGCACACCAGTGATATGTGGGAGGGCCATATGTATCTAACTGGCTGTATGTTTGCATACCATTCTCTCTCTCTTTGCCTCTTTCTCTCTCTCTCTTTCTCTCTCACTCTCTCTGTCTCTCTTTTTCTCTCTGTGTCTCTGTCTCTCATTAAGAATTATATCCAATAAATTTTGTCAACTAGTTAACTAGTTAGAAAGATAGAAGAAACAGACTGAGATAGATAGATTGATATTAAATAAAAAAGATAGATTTATAGATTTTAGATAGATAGATAGATAGATAGATAGATAGATAGATAGATAGATGAAACAGACTGAGATAGATAGATAGATATGAAAATGACTGAGATAGATAGATAGATAGATAGATAGATAGATAGATAGATAGATAGATAGATAGATGAAACAGACTGAGATAAATAGATAGATATGAAAATGACTGAGATAGATAGATAGGTAGATAGATAGATATGAAAATTACTGAGATAGATAGATAGATATGAAAATTACTGAGATAGATAGATAGATAGATAGATAGATAGATAGATATGAAAATGACTGAGATAGATAGATAGATAGATAGATAGATAGATAGATAGATAGATAGATAGATAGATAGATTTATTTTACAAGAAAAAAATGTCAGACATATTTAATATGGAAAAGCAAGCAAAGAGAAAGAAAATTTATATAATAGAGTAATCAGTGCATTTTTTTCTAAGAATATCAATTCAATCAGTGAGCAATTTCTCGATGACAAAGCCACTTTCAACAAGATCATAATTCATGATAAGTGCTTAAAGGGTCAGCAATAATGTAACATTGTTGATTTTTGTTTAATGTTGCTAAGACTTTGCGAAGCGCTTAAAGAATTAAATTCCAATTCCTTCAAGAGTTTTGCCTTTTTCTCTTTCATTTAATTAATTTATATTCATTTTATGTTATTGGAGAACGTGATAGAATATACGGGTGTTTGGGGTGCGGGTTTGTGTGTGTGTTGATCTCTGTGCGTGCGTGTGGCCTTGTGTGCGTATTTGAGAAAAATTACGTCATATTTATATACATATCTATCTATCTATCTATCTATCTCCGTGAAAAAAATCGAATAAAGACAAAAATGAAAACTTTTATTTACTAATTCGTTTTGTCCTCTGATGGAATTTATTAAGGTTAATCTTATTATAAAAAAAATTAAAGGACGAAACATGTTGGTAGCTTTCATTTTTTCTTAAAAAAACACACGCTCTTCTCTCTCTCTCTCTCTCTCTCTCTCTCTTCATGCACACACACACACACACACATTTATATATATATATATATAGATATAGAAACAATAAAATCAACACTGAGCTTTAATTATCTTTTTTTACATTTAAACGCAATTTCATGTCAGATATGTGTGTGTTGCATGTATGCATGCGCGTATGTGCTTGTGTGTGTGGGAGTTGCGTTTGTGTCTGCGTATGTGCCGTATGTAGACAAAAGTTACCTAGCAATGTGTGTCCGATAAAAAGTGAAAAAAAGACCAGAAAATTTTAAAACAAAATTAACAAGTAAATCCTAATCTCTGTGTTTTCAAACAGATAATCACTTATCGTCAGTTTTATAATTTCGTTTTCTTTTTAATCTTTTAAACTGATGATGTCACCTTTTAAGTGACACCTTGTTTTCCATTCAACTTCTCTACGAGTCAAACTGTGATGATGTTAATGTAGATACTTCCAAAAGAAAGCGACAACTCATGTTTAAAATGCAGTTTTTAAAAATGAAATATCATTATTGAAGCTGTTATTTTAGTTTTAATTTCAACGTAATAGATTCAATTTAATATTTTCAATAAACAGTATACTTTGCTGTGTTTGAAAATGAATTCAAATTGAATGCAATAATTTTCTTAGCAAAACCGCTAAAATCGGTTATATTTTCAAATCTGTCAACACAAGGTAATTCTCATTTAAAAATCTTTCAAAAATAAAAATGTACTTTTCTGAAACCTTATTCGAGAAAACTTAGCTTATTTATAGTTTAATTAAGCCGATTTCAAAAAATATTACTTGGAGTTAAAAAATATCGCAATTTTGATATTTTAAAAAAAATTTTTTTAACGATGATTTGTTCGTTTTTGTTTAATTTAAAATTTTTAAAGGTGAATAAAATTGGTTTGTTTGCCAATTTTTGGATTTTAATGGAGGTTTTTTTTCTAGAATTAAAATTCTAATTTTAGTCAAATAATCGGAGAAAGAATTTTTCTTATTCCCTTCATATCTTTTATCTTTTCTTTTTTCTTTTTATTTCCTTTTTTACACTCTCATATTGTGCCTCTTTTTTTCTTTCTTTTACATTCTTTTTCTTTCTTTCTTTTTCTCTTCATATCTTTTACCTTTTCTTCTTTTACTTTTTTTCCGGGACTAAACACCTCAATTCAACTTAATTTTAATAATTATTTGGATGGTTTCGGCTCTCGTTTTTTAAACATGAGAACTCTTATGTAGCGAAGGAATCATATTTTTAAACAAAAAATATTATTATATATATATAATTGTTTATTGCAACTGATCAAATCTGGCCAACTGGACATCTTCGGTCGTTTGTGTTCAACCACCTCGGTATAATTCCAGCCAAATGGATTCAGTTTCATATTTTGTTTAATAGAAAGAAAATGCATTAATGAAATAGTAAATATGGCTACAACTCAAATCTATTTTTGTCTATTTCCTTATTTAATTTCATCTCTCTTCAAGATATAATGGGTTTATGGCTCTCCACAGCCTCCTCTCATTTGATTGACTTAAAGATTCCTCTTGGATTGCTTGGCTTTCATTTTTCTTTTTCTTTTCTTTGCGGTCATCGAAAAATGGCAGACTTGGATGGCATTGAAAAACATAAGCCAATATAGAGAGAGGGAAAAAGTCGGGGGTGGAGAAAAGAAAGAGAAAAGCAGTTTAAGGGAGAGGGAGGAAGGGAGGGATGAAATTTAGAAGCGGGAGGAGGAGAGAGTCTGTGAGAAAGAAAGGATTTTATCAGTGATATTATTTCATCTGATTCTTATTAATGATGATAATGATGATTGTTGTTGTTTTTAACCCCCCCACTTCGGGACGTCATTTTCCGTTCGGTAAAGACGGGCCACACTCTTTCCTATCGATCTCCTCTTCCAGTTGGGACCCAAGAGATATCATTTTTAAAAAGAATCCTTCCTCACCCTGGGGCATCAATATGACACCCCCCACCCCGAAGAAACAAAGAAGCAATTATTTGACTCACCTCATTGTTAGCAGACGAAGAAAAAAAAATCGATCAATTTTAACCGATTTTTTTTTTATCTTTAATTTCATTTGAAAATTCAATCAAATTCAATTCCACATTTTTTGTCAACTTTTGATGGTCGGAGAAACAAAAAACGAACGAAAATCTTATAAAATCCATTGTTTTTTTTTTTTTTTTTTTGTTTTTTTCATAAAATTAAACATTTTTTCTTTTTTTAAGAGTTATTTGCCTCGACTCATATTACGGAAAATGAACATTTTTTCTGTTTTATTTACTTGAACTCATATTGGAAAATCATTAAAAATATTTTCAAAAATTTAGAAACGAAAATTTATTCACATCAAAAAGAAGAAAAACAAAAAACAATTTTAATTAAAATTAATTTTTATTTTTTTAAAGTAATTTTCAAAATTTTCCATGAAATAAATTAAAAAAAAAAAGAATTTTAATTAAAATAAATTTTATTTGTAAAAAGGAAAATTCTTGGAAAAAACAATTCAATTTTTTTCTGTTTAAAGAAAAAAGTTTTTTTTTTTTTTTTTAATAAATTTTCAAAATTTTCATTAAATTTTCTCCGTCGTTTTGAAAACAAACAAACAATTTTTTTCCGGAAACAAAAATCTTCGGACAATTTTCAGATTTTTTCGGAAATTTGTACAGAATTTTTTCTGTTAAGACAGAAAAAATTCCTTCCTTGTTGCAAAAATAAAAAAAAACAAATTCATCGGCAGAAAAATCGAAAATTTCTTTTTCAGTTTTGATGATTTGAAGAATTTGGCCATTTTCATTCCAAACGAAGAATTCCGACATTTCAATTCTTGCCCCCCACAAATTCCCGGTCCTGGGATCGGCACGAAGGAGGGGGTCAGAAGGAAAATCCGACCCCAGCGATTTTTCAAGTTGGATTTTTTTTATTTCATTTCCTTCTTTAGAAAAACAAAAAAATTCTTTAAAATCAAAATCACAAACGAAAATTTTTTCGTTCGTTTGACACAAAGAAAAAAATTGATTTTCTTTTGTTTCGATTCTTTTTTCTTTTTCTAAAAATGGCCGACTTTTCTTTCGCGCCAAAAACCAAAGTTCTCCCCACACCGTCCCCTCCCCCCTCCCCCACCCACAAACAACGAAATTGTCTTGGGAAAGACAACAAATGTCCCAGGGTGAGAATCCTTCGTCCCTCAAGGGACATCGGCCGACGATTTCCCCAGTCTCACCGAATTCCTTGATCGAATCGTCGCCCCCATCGACAACAAACACGTGACCATCTTCGTCGCTGGCGGCAATCGAATAAATCCACGCCAGGTTCGAACCCCGAAGTCGGAATTCGCTTTCAAGTTCCAATTCTCTTGGATGCCATGTCTTTAGCGTCTTAAAGTCGACGATTTCTTCTTGAAGTTGGTCCAAGGATCGTTGGCACCATGCTGGAAAGGTCACCACAAAATGACCTTCCTCAACAGGAAAGAACGATTCGTGGAGACGCCCTGAAAGCTCCGCTCCCAGCGACCGGACACCAGAAACAACTTCTTCGTCGTCGATGCTGACGACTAAGAATTGGCGCAAATCCAGGAGCCATTTTCCCGCCTCCTCCAAGAGAGTTTCTTTCTCTTCGAGGATTTGGCGCCATTTCCTTTCTTCTTCGCTCCTCTTTTCTTTCATTTGGTTGCACAAGTTTGCGGCCTTCAGCCTCGTCTTTTCCAGAAGTTCATCGAATTCCTTCCAGACTTTGGTGCAATTCTCGTCGCAATCGATTGATAATTGTTCAATCGATTTCTTCGTCCATTCAATCCCTTGACGGAGCCGATTTATTAATTCTTCGACATCTTCCTGCAGTCGTAGGCCGAATATTTTCGCTTCCAAGATTTCTTTCCTCAATGACGAAGCCATTTTTTGATTTCGTTCAAGAAAAATGAAATCTGAAAATACGAAAGAAAAAAAATCTTTTTTAGAAAATAAAAAAAATGGTCAAAGTTCAAAATCATAAAAAGTCTATTTTTAAAACCGAAAATAAAATGAAGCGAAATTTTTAGATTTTACAAGAAAAACAAATTTCCCGAAAAATTTTAGTTTTCTTCTAAAGTCACAAATAAAGGCGGGGAGGGGGGTTAAGAGAAAAGACAATGAAATATGAGAGAGTGGGGAACGGAGGAATAGTGAGAGTGAGAGAGAGAAAATAAAATATATAGAGAGAGGGAGAGAAGGAAATATAGAATGTGTGAGTGAAAAAGTGAGAGAAATCGAAAGTAACAAAGGAGAGAGTGGTTATCGATGCAGAAATAAGAGGAGAGAGAGAGGACCAATTCGAGAAAGGGAAAGAAAGAAAGGGTAAAAGTAAGAGAGAGAGAAAAGTTCCAATTTGTTGTTTTCACAATCACTTTTAACATTCAGATGTTAATTAAATTTCTTCACTCTTTCTTTCACTTGACACGATTTAAGAAATTTCATAATGTCGGATTTTTATCGTCTGCTTCCGAAACGAATCATTTTTTTATGACAAAATTGAATCCATTTTAAATAAACTGATCCACTCATTAAAATATATTTTTTTTTTAAATGGGGTCATTTTTTGGGGGCCTGTGAAATATTTTTGTAGATTAACATTTATTAGACTTTCAAAGCCATAACGATTGACAGAAATGAAAATGCTTTTGTTTTTTTTACATAAAGGGGGCCCTGTTTATGATATCGTTAAGATGTAAAATCGATCCCTGATTTTTCTAAAAAGTTTAATTTTTTATGAAAAACTTCGTTTAAAGAAGAAAAAAATAAACAAGTTTTGTATGAAAAAAAGTCACGTAAATTAAATTAGTTTATTCTTCATTTAAGATAAAAAAAATCCCCCCCCCAAAAAAAAGTAGCGAAAAATGTTTGTAAATAAGAATTTAAGTCAAATAATTCTTCCAAAGTCAAGGATCGATTTTACTTGATATTGATATTATGAACAAGACCCTCACTTTATAAATCGGAAAAATAATGAATCATTTTTGATTCTGAAAAATGTCGTCGTCGTTTCAAGAAAATTCAATGAATTTTAATCTACAAAAAATAATTCTCTCCCCACCAAAAATGTTCACCATTTTCATAAAAATGGGACCAATATATTTAAGTAGTTCCAAGAAGGGAATAAAGTTTTAAGAAATATTAGACATTGTCTACAATCGAAATAAAGAAGGAGGAAGAAAGGAAAAGAAAACAAATTCGATGATTGAAAGAAAAGAAATAAGCAGACGACATAAATAAACAGAAATAAAAGTCATCTTTAATCTTTCTGATATCATTGCAAAGAATTTATCCGAAATATTAACTAAAAACGAATTTATTTTACCACAAAATTCGGATCAGACATTTTTTTTTAAATTATACGGAGAGAGAAAAAAAATAGAAGATAAAAAGTTTGTCTCTAAATATGAATGCGGTTAAAAAAGAAGAGAAAATAAAAGTAGAATTTTTCGTTGTTTTGATGAAAACATTTGTGAAATTTCGATTATTTGAAAATCGATCTAAAAATTCTGACTTACATTTGATTTCGTTTCAAGCTCACTTAAATAAAATGAGATTTTCTTGAAATTTGGGAAAGCAAAAAAAAAAAAAAATGACGTTTTCTTCTTGGTGTCGTTTCTCGTGAAGTGAATTGAGCGGGAAAGCGATGTGACGTCATAGGATTTTAAGGCATTTCATTGGACGAGAATAATCACACCACGAGAGATTAAAGGGCGTTTCCTAAGATAAACAAGGGAGGGAAAGAATATGAAGGGGAGGAAGGAGGAATTAGAGAGAGAGAGAAGAAAGGGTGAGAAAATCACAGACGTCACACACACAAAGACACGCACACATGTGTCACTTAGTGTGTATATATGTGGTCATTGTATGTATGTGTGTATGGATGTGGTCATGAGCGGCCTGTTTTGTTTCGGCAGATCGCGCCGTTCTTGACGACGTCTCGTCGGGTAGTTTTAGCGGGGGATTGGAATGACGTCCTTGACCCCGATATAGATCGTATAGGGCAAAAACAAGGTACTAACAACCCGGATGTGAAACCATTTCGGGACTTTATCGATGGGTTTGATCTTGTCGAAATGAACACCCTCGGGAGTTAGCATGGACTTGGACAAATAGTGGCAACTCGGATCCTGTCTCGCTTGCGAGCTACCTGGACCGAGTCTTAGTTAGGAGAGTCGATATAGGGCTCTTAGGGTGTCCAAGTTTCCACTATATAGTTTATACGGATCATAGGCTTGTCCGGGTCCGTGTAAACTTAGATAAGCCTAAGGTTAGAATGGCTGGTTACTGGAAATTTAACTGTTCACTTTTTGGTGAGCAGGATTTCCGGGACCAGCTGCTACTAATGATTCAGAGGGAATTGACGGGGGCGGTTGTGGGTAACGCCTGGTGGGGAAAATTAAAATCTAAAATTAGAACGTTTGCTGCCGATTTTAGTCGTCGACTCAATCTAGATAGATTAGCGGCGCAAACGGCTTTAGAAGAAAAGGTCGATCGGGCTGTTAAATCCCGTGTTAGTGGGGACATAGTCTTAGCTAAGGCAGAGTTGGCCTCCTTGCTTATCAAGAAGGATCAAGCTCTGGTAGTTAGGGCTAGGCTAAAAAGAATGTCTTCTGAGGCGACGAATATGGCCGCTGAATTGCGTGCAGAGGAGAATAGGAACGCGGCTAAGCGACATATAGCGTGCGTCACATTGCCGGATAAGCGGACCGTGACTACAAACGCGGGCATATGCGAGGCCTTTCGGCTTTTACTTTCAGGATCTTTTCACCAGGGAGCCCGGTCTGAGCTCTGCTCAGTTGGACGCCTATTTAGCTGACTTTCCCTGCCTTGAGGCAGCTGAAGCGGCTTGGTGCGAGGGTCCCATAACAGAGTCGGAAATCTGGGAAGCGCTGAAGCAGGTTGGCCTGGATAAGTCTCCGGGACTAGATGGCCTTCCCTATGAAGTGTACTTGAGGGCTGTCGCCCGTTTTTGTTCCTTTGCTGCAACTGATTTTCAACCACTGGATGAAGCAGGGTCTTTACCTCGACGCTTCACCAGGGGTGTGATCAAGTTGTTGCGTAAGGACAAGAACGGTGGGGATGGGTTAGGGAATTTTCGCCCTTTAACGATGTTAAATACTGACTTAAAGATTTTGGCGAAGATCTTAGCCAACCGTTTGCAGCTTGTCCTGTCTCGTCTGATTGGCCCCGAACAGACTTGTGCTGTGAAAGGCAGGACGATTCAGGATAACCTTCATATGGTACACTTGATCTTAGAACAAGTCGACAGTGAAGTCGCGCTGATCAATTTAGATCAGTCCAAGGCCTTCGATAGGGTTGACCATCGGTTTCTGGAGGCTGTCCTGTCGGCGGCCGGTTTCGGAGCCGACTTTCGCTCCTGGATCCGACTCTTGTATGCGACCCCCGGTGCGCTGGTGGAAGTGAATGGGGTTAGGTCGGAGCCTTTCGTATTGTCTCGCTCCATTCGTCAAGGTTGTCCGCTATCGCCCTTGCTTTACGTTCTTGCGTTGGAACCATTCCTTCGCAAGTTAAAGGCGAATCCGGTCCTGCGCGGAATTACCCCTGCCTGGCGCCACCACCTCAGCCAGGTATTCTGCCTATGCTGACGACGTTTCGGCTCTTGTGTCGAGCAGAGCCGAGATTGACGAAGTCAGCAAAGAAATCAGTGGGTATGAGATGGTAACAGGGGCCAGTATCAACCGCGATAAGTCTGTGGGCTTGCGGTTGGGTGCGTGGAAGGCAGTTTCTCTTCCCGGACCTTTCCTCTGGACGGATGGGCCGATCAAGATACTCGGCGTCTGGTTCGGTCCTGATCTCCAGTTGGAAATGAACTGGTCGGAGGTACAAGAGAAGGCCGAGATCGCGATTAATTTGTGGTCTCGGAGGAGACTTTCCCTGAAGGGAAGGGCGGAAGTATGTGTTTCACACATCTATCCGATCCTCCTGTACCGACTCTCTGTGCTTCCACTCCCGTATGCCCGACTAATGTCATTAGTCCGGACCTTGTTCTCTTTCTTGTGGAAGGGCAAGGCCCCTATGGTATCTCGCGAGGTCTGTTGCCTCCATCCCTCTGAGGGCGGTCTGGGGATGCCTAGCATTGAGATCCGTCAATATATGCTTCGCATTACCTTTCTAGATCGAATGTGTCGCGGGTCGAATGAGGAGGGTGCCTTTTGGAAAGAAGACGTCCAGAAACATTTCCCGTCCCTGAAAAAGTGTGCACTCGTGCGTAGAAGAGGCCGGCCGTACACCACGTGCCGAGTGTTCTTTTTATCGTGAATGTCGTCGCGCTCTGAAGCTCCTCTTACGGGCTTCGGATGGCCTCTCCAACGCCCAGGCGTTGTCTCGTAAGGCATTATATCAATTTTTAGTTAGGGGGCCGTTCAAGATGATCTGATTGGCGAGCTCGGTCTTACGAAGCAGGAGGCTCGCTCGATATGGCCTTGGGCGCCCGGGTTGAAATGCCTCAATAACGATGAGGCATCACTCACCTGGCTGGTGATTCGTAAAGCCCTCTGGGTCGGCAAGAGATTTTGTTCAGCAGGCTTGGAGAAATATCCAAACTGTCGTCGCTGTGCGGGGGAAAGACCATTGGTCACGCCTTTTTTCAGTGCAAGGCGGTAGTGCCGTTGTGCAAGTTTGTTGAAGGCCTCATGGTTCGCATGCTGCAGGGAAAGTTTTTTGTCCTGGAAGCCAGTTCTGTTTGTAGCAATGTGGTGCCGCAGATGACGAAGGCTGAACACTATGTGTTCTGTTGCTTACTAGGGGTTATGAGAGTCGTGATTTGGACGACGCGTCAGAAGGAATTCCATGAGGGCGAGAAGTTCACTTCTTCCCAACTGATCTTGTTCTTTAAGCATCAGCTTAAAGTCAAGATCAGGACGGAAAGGCGGCGGCTCCCCTCATCAGAATTCAACAAAAGGTGGGTGAATCTTGCGCGTATGTGCCGAGTAAAAGGGGCTGACCTTGAGTGGCATTTGGATGCCGGTTAGGCCCTTTTGATTTTTTTTTCCTGGGGTCAAATATTTTATGTCCCGATTTAGGTTAGATTAGGTTTTTGTATTTTTTTTTAGTTTTTATTCTTTAACTTAGCTAGGGGTGTATTTGCTCATTTGTCCCCTTTTATTTCTGTCCCCATTTTCCTTTTTTTAGTTTAACTCCCCATCCCCTCCCTCGTTTTAGGTGGTCAGTGATGTCAGTTCTCTGGTAGATGCGGGATACCTTTCGTTTTTTTGTGTTTTTTCGTATTTGTTGTTGTGTATGAATGAGTGTGTGCCTGTGTGAATGCTTGGGAAGAATGAGTGTGGCCTTTATTTTCATAAGTCCCCATCGATTTCGTCCGGTTAACTGATATTTCTGCCACATTCAAAAGTTTGTTGGG